ATATGGGAACAATAACTCTGTTTTCTAGAGTGTCTCTTGACTCACACTCCTAGTATTCCAGCCAACAACAGGAGAATTGTAGAATGTCCTTCAGAGAACTCTTTGTCCAACATCCTCATCGGAAAACTGAGAAACACAGATCCAAGAAGGGTAAGGTAAAGACATTTACTCAAAATAATATGTTAATGGAAGAAATAAAGTCTTCTAAAGTCTTCTAAAGTCTTCTAAACCTGTGAAGCATTATGAAATTAAATACAGTTGCTATAATTATCAAAATCATTATGAATTAATAGATTGACTTATTCAATAAACATTACTGAACGTTTGATGTTCTAGCTGCTGGGGAGTACAAATTCATGCTTGACCAATAGAGTATGGTAGACATGCCATAATGCCATTGCTCAACCTAGTCTAAGAGGCTGGCATATTCTGCTTTGCACTGTGGAAGTGCTTACCAACAATGAAAGAAGTACTACTATCCCGACATCTCCATGCTGTAAGAAGTTCAAGCTACACAGAAAGACCCTGTGTTGATACTCTAGCTAATAGCCCCAACTGAGCTCTCAGCCAACAGTCAGCATCTGACTATCACCCATGTATGTCATCACATTTGAAGTCCAGTCCATATTATTCTTCTTATGACTCCAACTCCAGTCATTATCTGCATGAGAAAGTCCAAGGGAGAGCTGCATAAGTAAATACACTCACAGAATCATAGGAAAAAAATGTAAGTTGTTGTGTAAGCCACTAACTTTGGGATAGTGGCTATATAGCAAGAGATAATCACAAGAGTAGGTGAGAAAGAAATAATTTAAAGATTTTAAACAGAAGAATGATGATAAATTCCATTTATAACTGAACATGTTGATCAGGTAGGGACCTAAGATCAGAGTCTTTGATGGTGGGGTTAAACATTCTATCCCCTGGTCTCAGCACACACCCACATTTAGTTGGAATTTGAGGGTTGCTAGATGGAACTAAGTGAAATTCCTCCCCTTGTGTACAAATTTATGTGTTACATAGATTCAGAAGAGTCTCCTAGGGAAAAAAAAAAAAAAAAGTACCAGGCCCCTTACACATGACTTTAGACCTGTGACTGATAAAGTATCAGATTCCAATTCTGGTAACAGGCTATTAATGTAGCACCTGATGATCCCTGTTTACTGGTAATTACACCCTTGGGTAATTCCATACCTTTACTGGAGAGGGGTGACCCATTGAACCAATAAAATTTTGCAGAAATAACCATGTGCAATGTCTGAAGCTGTTTTGAATGACATTAAAGCTTTTGGCTTTGCTCGTCCTTGGGTTGCTCATGCTGGAGGAAGCCAATTGATCCTCCAAAAGCCCTATGGAAAAACCCAAGTGGTGAGTAACTGAACTCTCCTGCCAGCACAAATGTAGCATGTTAATGAGTTATCTTGGAAGTGGATATCTCAACCCTAGTGAAGCCTCAGATGACTGTAGCCTGACCAGTGTCTTTGTGAACTCTTATCTGAAGTTCAGCAGTTCTTTTAGGTTGATTTCTATGAGCTAAGTCCAATAAGTTTAAGTAATTTGAAATTATTTCTAATCTTCCTACATTACTTAATTCAATGGAAATTAAGTAATTTTTCTTTAATTTCCAGTATCATATAGTTTATATGTAGTAAGCAATGTATATAACATATATGATTAAAAGAATAGTTTTAAAAGTTCAAGTACATTTAAAATAACATATAAATATATAACTACAAATTTAAAATATATATAATTATTGTTTAAAAATATATGACTACTAGTATATTTGAATTGTTCTTTGTCCATAGTCCAATAATTTTCTTCTCCCTTCATTCAGATGTAACTATTTAGAATTCTGAATTTATCACTTCCCTCCTTTAACATAATTTTATTATGTATATACATATACCTAAATGATATATTGTTCACTTATTTTATTTTGATCTTATAAATAATTAAGGTTGCACATATTATCTTCTTTATGTTAATCTTTTCCCGAATTGTAACATCTTTGAGATTAGACATACTGATGCTTTTAACTGCGATTCCCTCATTTTCACTGCTATAATGTATTATCTTTCTTATTCAAACCAAAAATATTTATCCAACTCCCTGTGAATGGACATTTGGCTTGTTTTTAGTTTTTTGCCACTGTAAATAAGGATGCTATGAACATTCCTGTATATGCCATTTGGATACATATGTAAGCTGTATATCCTACGAGTGGGATGATTGACTGTATCAGAATATAAAGTAATCCCAGTTATCCCAAGAAGTTGTATCAATTTACACTACTACCAGCCAAAAGGCAGAGCACTCATTGCTTCAAATTCTCACCAAAATTTTGGGAAATCAGACTTTCTTTTTTGTTAATTTGGAAGGTGATTATATATTTTTCCATTTTAATTTATTAATTAAATCAATAAATTAAATTTAATTAATAAAGTATGAATATTAATATGTTAATATTAATTGTTAATCATAATTAATTTATAAATTATAAATATATTAATGAATTAATGAATTGGATTGAGTTAAATTAAATTTTCCATTTTAATTAATTTATTTAAATTCAAATTGTTCACATACAGTGTATTATTTGTTTCAAGGGAAGAATTTAATGATTCATCAGTTCCATATAATAACCAGTGGTCATTACTCAAGTGCCCTCCTTAACACTTATCATCTAGTTACCCCATCCCTCCACCCACTTCCCCTCAAGCAACCCTCAGTTTGATTGGCAAAGAGTGTCTTACGGTTTGCCTCCCTCTCTGTTTTTATCTTTTTTCCCTCCCTCCCTGATGTTCATCTGTTTTGTTTCTTAAATTCTACATGAAATCACATGGTATTTGTCTTTCTCTGACTTATTTCACCTAGCATAGCATCTTCCATCCATGTTATTGCAAATGGCAAGATTTCATTCTTTTTTGATGGCTGGGTAATACTTCATGGTGTGTCTGTGTGAGTGTGAGACAGAGAGAATGGACATCTGGGTTCTTTCCATATTTTGGCTATTGTTGATAATGCTGCTATAAACATCGGGATGTACATGCTCTTCAGATTTCTATTTTTGTATCTTTTGGGTAAATATCTATGTTATCAATTGATTTATAAATTTGGGTGCCCAACTTGGAGGCCTAAATATTTACAATTGTTCAATCTTCTTGTTGGATAGATACCTTTATTATTATTAAACAGTGCCCTTCTTCATCTCTTGTTACAATCTTTGATTTACTCTGGCTTTCTTTTAGCATGATGAATGGTTCTCCATCCCCTCACTTTCCATCTGCATATGCCTCTATATCTAAAATCAGTCCCTTATAGGCAGCATATAGATAGGTGATGGTGTTTTGTCTTTTTTATTGTCCATTCTGTTACACTATGTCTCTCTTCCCTGGAGAGGGGCATCCATGCCAGCTGCTCTTAAGGAATCCCTGACAGAAGAGAGAATAATATCCCCTCATTTGTCCCACGCTTCTTTCAGATCCCATCTTCATCCTGTGTCTGAGCCATCTGCTGACCCAGTGGCACAATGTTTCTTTATTTTGTCTCTAGCACACTGTCTGGGTTTCAAAACTTCAAATTTTAGGGACCTGGGAAGGGCATAGACCTGCTCTGATCCTCTGAGGGAGAGTCTCTGCACGTTGTGATCAGTGCTGGTTTGTCCCAGAAGGGGGGTTGCACAAACCCACAGGGACTTGGAGTTTATGGTAAAACATGGAAAAAAGTCAGTGTCCAGGTTAGATGCCCTCAGCAGGTGTTTCTGCTCATATGCTAATGAACCGAGCAGCTCAGTGATGCCTGTGGGCTCTTTTGTCCCTAGAAAGACAGTGCCATCTCTCCCAAATGCACTCCAAGAAGGGGTACTGTCTTACCCGGTGCAACCCAGGGGAATCCTCAGACCATGATGTCCACTCCTGGGCCCCTACCCTCCTCTCCCCAGAGCACCTCCATACCTACCAGGCTCCACCCAGCAATGGTGCGGACTTCTAAAACTTCAGACTTGGAGCTTGACTGCTTGTAAAAACTTGCAATTATTAGCCTCTCTCATTTTCCCTGTCAGTTTTTCTTGTGCAATGCCTTGCACCCTGCTCTCTCTTTCCCTCTCTCTCTTTCTGTCTTCTCTCCCTGCTCAGGGCTCCCTCCTGTCTGTGTATCATTGATTCTTTTCTCCTCCAGACCATGGATCCACATCTACATTCCACAGTGTGGCCTCTTTTCTCCCGCTAGTTGTGCAATTGTTCCTTCAGTCCTCAGACTGGTTCCCTGGGTGTTCAGAATGACATGACATTTATCTAGCTGTGTTCCAGGAACAAGGCCACCATAGGGTCCCTCTACTACTTCACCATCTTAACTCTGGCTCCAGGCTTGCCTTTTGACGTACACGATCATTCCATGCTTCCTTCACATCGTGCCACAATATTGAAGCAGCAGCTCTGAACCATTGTTCCTACATGTTGTTTCAGTTCTTTCTTTTCTTTCAACTATGACTTTGCCCTCCCAGGACTTCAAATTTCTGTGCCCACTAATTTTTATTTATTAATTTGTCTTTATTTACTCATATAAGGCAACGTTTAAAGAAATTCATATATATGCTTATAGGGGTGAGTTCTTGACAGATTGCTCAGAAATACACTTTTGACATTTTCCTCAACTATCAATATTTTTTTAAAATTACGTACATGAGCATTTCTGCCATAGAGCTGCCTTGCTTACCTGAAGTTTTTTAGAACGCAGTATCTGGCAAAGGGTGGAGAAAGTTCAAACTTCACCTGTTCCTGGGGAAAGGGCTGGCCTGCTACCAGGAAGAGGCAACATCTGTGGCAATTCCCAGCCTTTGATGAGAAGTTCCCACCCCCCCATGGTGGGAATCTCCTCTAATCCATGCCAAGCACTTCCCCTGTTCAGGCCCCACATTCCTATTATTCATTTCAGCACCCCTCCTTCAAATTTGCTTATAAAAGCCCAGTCTTCTCTGACCTGACAAACCATTGCAAATCCCTGCAAGACAGGTGAGTAGAACCTGAGAGAGATGAGACCTCATGGCAAGAATTCTACTGTACATATTTGGGGGAAGCTACAGGAGGATTGCTGTCACACAGAGGAGCTCTGATCTCAGCACAGGCAGGCTTGGCAGTTCTCATGGGGTAGGGGAGCGTACAGACTTCCAGTTCTTTCCAGAGCTATACAAGGGGACAGATGTCACTGGGATCAATTTATTCCTAGGGGATTAAACTGTGGAAAGACAAGGAAGAGGAGGGACATCTCTGCATGCCCTCTCTCCAGTCATGCTTTCCTTAGTGATCTCTGATTGCTTCCTCAGATCCCAGACATGATGCTGCCTCCCACAGCCCTCCGCAGCATGTCCTGGATGCTGCTTTCCTGCCTCATGTTCCTGGCTCAGGTCCAAGGTGAGCTCTCACTGTTTCTAGGATGGGAGCCTTGTGAATGCTCAGGGCCAAAAAGAAGAGGCAGGCTCCCGTGGTAGTGGTGACATACATCCCCACACAAAGAAACTGCCTAGAATTTGTCTGTCATCACTCCTTCCTTCGGAGTAACCGGGGGTGGCAGGCATCCCAGTGGTCCTCTAGCACTGTAAGGAGGTCACTTCCATTTTGCCCCAGCACTCTCAGTTAGGTTGATAGGTGAAAGCGGAAAAGTGTGAAGGGTCAGTAATGAGATACAGGGAAGGAGAATGAGGACCCAGTGCAAGAACGGTCAGCCTAGAGTGGAGGAGGGTTGGACTTAGAAGGAGAAGGATGAAAGAAAAGAAGATTCCTCATTTAGTGGGGTCAGTTCAAGATCCAGAAATCCTGAGAGTGTTGGCAATGGAGAGAGGCAGTCAGGACTTTGGCATCACTTCCCCAAGCACTGGCCTCATACGTATTCCCCTGGGTCACCTCCCTACCCTGGTCCCCACTGTCCTATTTACTTCTAACTTCTCTTTGGTTTCCTTCCACCCTAGGTGAAGACTCCCAGAATGATGTGCCCGCTCCACGGATCAGCTGTCCCAAAGGCTCCAAGGTTTATGCCTCCCACTGCTATGCTTTCTTTATGACACCAAAACCCTGGGTGGATGCTGATGTGAGTACTTGGATTTTCAGTTAGGGGTTTTAAGGGAAAGTACATTAAAGACGTGTGTGTGTGGGGGGGGGGCTTCAGTTCCATTTTCCAGAATTTCCTGAGCACAAGCTTGAGCACACACATCTTTTGCATATATACCCTTCTCCCCTGTCTCTGCTCTGCCCTCCACCCAGTGATGTCTCAGCCTCCCTCTGAGTCTCTCCCTTCCCCACACAGATGGCCTGCCAGAAGAGGCCCTCAGGACACCTTGTGTCTGTGCTCAGTGGGGCTGAGGCATCCTTTGTGGCCTCCCTGATCAAGAACAGTGCGAACACCTACTCAAATATCTGGATTGGGCTCCATGACCCCACAGAGGTATGAACTCATCTTCTCTTTGTAACTCTCAGGCTGCTATTACCCCCCAGGCCCACTCCCTGTCCTGTGTGCCTGTCCCTAAAGAGCCCTGGAGCTCAGAGATCATGAGGGGGAAAGGGAGGGCTTTGCATCAACTCAACAGCTGAGTTCTGTGCAAATCCCTTGTCTCCAGCTGAAGTTGATCTGCCTCCTGTCACACTTGTACACAATTTGCACGTGAGGCCTTATACTTCAGTTTACTGAACTTCACAGAGGCTGCATATTGTGTTGAGGGAATCCTATGTGAAGATAGGATCCATTTTTGTTCTACAGAGCAGACACTGTCTTTGGGTTTGAGGGGGTAACTACAAATGCACCACTAATTGCTGTTCAGTCAGGAACGTGTTACTCTGGGTGGTTCTGTAGGTCTTTGTCATTACTGGTTTGAGAATCTGCCAATAAGAGCAGAGAGTTAGGAAGAGTTTCCCAGAAGAGAGCTCTGGCTCCAGGGCAGCATCTAGATGAGAGAGCAAATTTGGTGATGCTGGGGAGGGGTTCATGCCAGGAGAACTCTGATGGCCATTCAACCTCACCACACTCTATCATCTATAGGGCTATGAGCCCAATGCAGCTGGATGGGAGTGGAGTAGCGGTGATCTGCTGAATTACCTTGCCTGGGAGAAAGACCCCTCCACTATTGCAAACCCTGGCTATTGTGGGAGTGTGTCAAGTAACACAGGTAGGTAACAGAGGAGCTACTTCCTGCCCAGAATTTTCCATCCTCTTTTTCCCCATTTCTCGGCATGACCTTTAGAGGATCCTCCTGAGCAAGAAATGTAGTATTGGTTTGTCTTCCCGCATCCCTTTTCATCTCTCTTTTCTTTGAGTCTCCTTCCTCTGGTGGATACTGGGGAGAATGAGAGAGAGGCTTTGGATCCTAGGCCAGAATCTGGGATGCCTCTCGCTTGGGTTCAAGAGCTCCACCAGCTACATCTACCTGAGCTCCTTTTTCTCTCTAGGATATCTGAGATGGAAAGATTACAGCTGCGCTACAAGGCTACCCTATATCTGCAAGTTCAAGGACTAGGTCTGGGGAGACATCGGGAACCTGGGTTTTGCATGCAGCTCATCATGGACTTGAGACCAAGTGTGAAGACCCAGCCTGGAAAGGAATAATCTCAAACCTGACCACTTCATTCTGAACTGTCTTCCTCCCTGCTCATTTATCTTCATGTTCTTTTGGTGTATTACATGGCCTGGGATCTGAGAATGCAATAATAAATACTTTATTCCATTTCATGTGCTTTTGTTCTCCTATCTCATAGCTAGACCCTGAAGAAGAACAGGTGCGGGAGGAATTCTGGGACTTGCCCCTGTCCTATGTTATCCATTCCCCCAGGAAAACACTTAAATGTATATCCCAGCGATGTATTTGTGATCAGTACATAGTCTCTGTTCATTTACATCTGTGTTGTGTACAGAAAAGACACCGCTCTCCCACACACTCTATTGCATATTACTCTTATTTGTGACACAAACGGACTTAGTGGTGTCTGCTGTTTTTACAACAGCACTTCTGAAATCATTCGCAATGAATGATCAGTTTTTTTCTTTAATTTGTAATCCACCTTGGACCATGACCTTTATAAAATACCGCAAAAAAAAACAAAATAAAACAAAACAAAAAAACAACGAATTACTTGGGTTCTGACTGCAGTACTTACAAGTGGGGCATTAGAAGTTGTCACGCTCTTCATTAAAACAGTTCTGTTCTTAAACCAACCACTAGAAAAGTGTTTGAAATTGCTGTAATTGCCTTTGACCATTTGGGATTCCTCTCCTGGGACTGGACTTAATTTCTTTTCACACAAAATTAGGGCTTTTTGGTTTTTTGTTTGTTTTATTTTAGGAGGATTTAAAAATAATAGCATTTGATAAGGCAGTCAGTATTGTCTCCTACACCTAGGGCCAGCTTAAGTTCATACTGATCACAGAGGATATTTTGCTAAATTTATGGTCTTTATTCATAACCAGTTTGTGTGAACTCTTACAAACTTCCATCTAAAAATCTAAAATAGAGGTAGGCAGGTAGTTTTTATCTCTCCTTCCTCTATATCTGTTCTATCCCACTAAACCCTCCATAATTTAATGCCTTCTGGGCAGTCCTGACATAGCTGATAAAAATGCTCTTTTCTCCTATAATAAATAATGATAATAAATAGTAATCTATTTTCCTTTTACTGAAAACTCATTTCCCTTAATATTTTAATTTAAAATCAATTTATTAACATAGCATGTTATTAGTTTCAGAAGTAGAGTTTAGTGATTCATCAGTGACATATAACACCAAGTGTTCATTATATCACATGCCCTCCTTAATGCCCATCCCCCAGCTACCCCATCTCCCTACCCCCCTGCCCTACAGCAACCCTCAGTTTGTTTCCTATAGTTAAGAGTCTTTGGTGGTTTGTCTCCCTCTCTGATTTCATCTTATTTTATTTTTCCTTCCCTTCCCTCGTATTCACCCATTTTGTTTCTTAAATTCTTAAATTCCACATGAGTGAAACCATATTATATTTGTCTTTCTCTGACTGACTTATTTGACTTAGCATAATTCCCTCTAGTTCCATCCACATCAAAGAAAATGGCAAGATTTCAGGGTGCCTGGGAGGCTCAGTCGTAAAACGTCTGCCTTTGGCTCAGGTCATGATCCCAAGGTTCTGGGATCGAGCCCCTCATTGGGCTCCCTGATCAGAAGGAAGCCTGCTTCTCTCTCTCCCACTCCCCCTGTTTGTGTTCCCCTCTCTTGCTGTGTCTCTTTGTCAAATAAGTAAAATCTTTAAAAAAAAAAGAAAAGGAAAAAAAATGGCAAGATTTCATTCTCTTTTGATAGTTTAGTATTATTCCATTATACACATATACATATATACACATACACATATACATATTTATACACATATACATATATGCATATATATACACACACATATATATATACACACACATACACACACACACACACACACACACACACACACACACACCACATCTTCCTTATCCATTCATCTACCAATGGACATCTGGGATCCTTCCCCATTTTGGTTACTGTTGATAATGCTGCTATAAACATCGGGGTGCATGTGCCCCTTCAAATTACTATTTTTGTATCTTTTAAATAAATACCTCATAGTGCACTTGTTGGGTTCTATCTTTAACTTTTTGAGAAAACTCCATGCTGTTTTCCAGAGTGGGTGCACAAGCTTGCATCCCCACAAAAAGTGTGAGGGGGTTCACCTTTCTCCACATCTTCACCAACATCTGTTATTTCCTGATTTGTTAATTTTAGCCATCCTGGCTGGTGTGAGGTGGTGACATCTCTTTGTGGTTTTGATTTGGGTTTCCCTCATGGTGAGTGATGTTGACAACTTTTTCACAATTTTGTTGGCCATTTGGATGTCTTCTTTGAAGAAGTGTCTGTTCATGTCTTCTGCCCATTTCTTGATTGGATTATTTGTTCTTTGGGTGTTGAGTTTGAGAAGTTCTTTATAGATTTTGGATACTAGACCTTTATCGGATATGTCATTTGTGAATATCATCTCCCATTCAGTAGGCTGCCTTTTAGTTTTGTTGATTGCTTTTTTTGCTGTGCAAAAGTTATCTTGATGAAGTTCCAGTAGTTCATTTTTGCTTTTGTTTCCCTTGCCTCTAGAAAAATGCCTAGCAAGAACTTGCTATGGCGAGGTCAAAGAGATTGCTGCCTGTTGTCTCTAGGATTTTGATGGATTCCTAGCTCACATTCGCATCTTTCATCCATTTTGAATTTATTGTTGTATATGGTATAAGAAAGTGGTCCAGTTTCATTCTTCTGCATGTGGTTGTCCAATTTTCCCAACATGATCTTTGAAGAGACTGTCTTCTTTTCACTGGATATTCTTTCCTACTTTGTCAAAGATTAGTTAATCATAGAGTTGAGGGTCCATTTCTGGATTTTTTATTCTGTTCCATTGATCTATGTGTCTCTTTTTGTGCATGTACCATACTGTTTTGATGATTACAGCTTTGTAATACAGGTCAAAATCCAGAATTGTGGTGCCTCTAGCTTTGGTTTTCTTTTTCAACATTCCTTTGGCTATTTGGTGTCCTTTGTGATTCCATACAAATTTTAGGATTGTTTGTTCCAGCTCTGTGAAAAATGCTATTGGTATTTTTATAGGGATTACATTGAATGCACAGATTGCTTTGGGTAGCACAGACATATTTGTTCTTCCAATTCATGAGAATGGAATGCTTTTCCATTTCTTTGTGTCTTCTTCAGTTTCTTTCATAAGCATTGTATAGTTTTCAGAGTACAGTTTTTACCTCTTTGGTTAGGTTTACTTCTATTATCTTGTGGTTTTTGGGTGAAATTATAAATGGCATTGATTCCTTGATTTTCTTTCTGCTGCTCATTGTCAGTGTATAGAAATGCAGTAGACTTCTATGCATTGGTTTTATATCCCGTGACTTTGCTAAATTCCTGTATCAGTTGTAGCAATTTTTTGGTGTTTTGGGGTTTTCTACATAGAGTATCATGTCTTCTGCAAAGAGTGAAAGTTTAACTTCTTCCTTGCCAATTTGGATGCCTTTTATTTCTTTTTGTTATCTGATTGCTGAGGCTAAGACTTCCAGTACAATGATGAATAACAGTGGTAAGAATGGATATCCCTGTTGTGTTCCTGACATGACAGATACATAAAATCTTTTAAAAAAAAATGGATACTGAATTTTGTCAAATGCTTTTTCTGCATCTGTTGAGAGGATCATATGATTCTTGTCTTTTCTTTTATTAATGTTGTGTATCACATTGATTGATTTGTGAATGTTGCACCACCTTTGCAGCCCAGGAATAAATCCCACTTTGTCATGGTGAATAATTGTTTTAATGTACTGTTGGATCCTATTGGCTAGTATCTTGGCAAGAATTTTTGCATCCATGTTTGTCAGAGATATTGGTCTGACAATATTTTTTTGGTGAGGTCATTGTCTGGTGTAGGGTTTAAGGTAAAACTGGCTTTATAGAAAGAATTTGGAAATTTTCCTTCCATTTCTATTTTTTGGAACAGCTTCAGAAGAATAAGTATGAATTCTTCTTTAAATGTTTGATAGAATTCTGCTAGAAGGCCATCTGGCTCTGTAGTCCCCTCAGTTTTAAAAGAAGCAAGTAGAGGAGTGCCTGGGTGGCTCAGTGGGTTAAAGGCTCTGGCTTCTGCTCAGGTCACGATCCCAGCATCCTGGGATCAAGCCCCGCATCAGGCTCTCTGCTCAGTGGTGAGCCTGCTTCCTCCTCCTCCTCTCTCTCTCTCTCTCTCTCTGCCTGCCTCTCCACTTACTTGAGATCTCTGTCTGTCAAATAAATAAATAAAATCTTAAAAAAATAAAAATAAAAGAAGCAAGTAGAGGTGCTCCAATTTGTATGTGAGCCCCAATGCCTAACATTTATATGAAAAATGTTGTGTTATATCCAATATTTGAATTCCCCATAATTTCTTCTGCCAGAGTCCAGCTGGGCTGCTGACAGCTTGTAAGTGCCTTGCCTGAGATGGACACAGGCTCCTTTCGGCTGCTTGAGTTTGGGCTATTTGGATATAAGCTGCTGACTTGGATTCTAACTCACTCAAGCAAAAAGGAGTGATTTTGGAAGGATGTGGATTTATCCCATGCACCAAGATCAGGGCATAAGTAAAAGCTTAGGGGGGAAAAAAAAAAAGCAAAGCAAGTGAGGTTAATCTCTTCTTATTTTCTTCCCCCCTCCCCACCCACTGGATTTGGTGTCTATTAGCCAGTCAGTTTCCTTGCCCATGGAATAACTAAAGGGAACATGGCTATCTCAGTAGAATTCTAGCTAACTTTTTACTCCAGGGATTCAAAATTTTAACTACCTTTTAAGTAAACAAATTTGTTTTCAGACTATCTGATTATTCTAGCTAAGACTGGGTGTTCACCTCAGTTGACTCAGGAGGCAAAGAATTTGAATCACAAGGTATTATTATGGGAGCCACACTCACCTCTTAAGTAAGATGTATGGATGAGATCCAGTTCTTAGAGAAGGGGAGTAGGGAGGCACTCCTACAGAAGTTTGCAACAGCAAATGAGACTTAATTGTTTCATCCTTTTGTTCTGACCTTAGCTTGGTTTCTGACCTAATGTCCTTCCTTAGGTACTGACATGTTACCCCAGGTACAATACCTGCTTCTGCTCTTGGACTATCCTCCAGACTTTCAGGAGTTGTCAGCTGGCTGTTGTGCTCAC